GAGGGAGGATCAGCTCCCTCAAATTTCCAATGGACATGATGTACTGATTTACTGCCCTGGGGGTGATGAAGTTGTGTGAATTATGGATGCTGTTCATTTTGGTGATTCTAAGGCAGTGAGATCCAGGGAAAAGATCGATGGACTTGAGAAATGAGAACAGATTGGATTCCAGCTCAGCACTTCCAAGCCTGTGAGCTTGGTTGAAATTCCCTTGGGTGTTCCTCACAAAAGGATCCCATGTGCCATGAAATCATGTGTAAAACTGTCTGTAACCAAGCCCCACAAGTGTCTCCCAAGTATAAAAATATGGCCTATGGCCTATGACCATGACATTATCTGGATGGATATTTCTAAAAACAAAGAAGCAAACAGGAACCTCTGTATCACAAATATCCTAAAAATTCACGTTGGAGTGCAGTTTTAAGTTCTTCCTCACCTGTCTACCACACCCCACTCTTTCCATTTCCCCTTTGCCTCTGTGTTGCTGTTTCCCACAGGATTGACCATAGGAGCTAAGCACCTTCCTAAACATAAGCTTTATGCTTTCTTATTTCTTCTTTGATTTCTCAAGCCAAGAAATTTGCAAGGCCACTGAAGTCTTTATGTGCCCTCTCTGTGAAAAGAACTGCTCACTGCAGAGACTCAACGAAAGCTGTATCTATGCCAAGGTGAGTGTGGACCCTCAGTTCTCCCTCCTGAACTCTAGGTAGTAGAAAGTCCTCCAGTAAATTATTTTTTACCAAAGTTAAATGTTCCCAGGAGTTTCAACAGTCCATATCATTGAAAATGGAATAATGTCACCTGTGGCAATTATAAAAAGAGAATATATTTATTTAAATATTGTCTTTCTTTGTTTTTATAATTGATTTTTTGCCATCAGAAACACAAAATTTCTCTTGGAATGATGTCTAGGTTCTTTTTAGGAAAAGATGATTCTTTTTATTGCTAATGATTACATTTGAATCTTCCATGAAGACTCATGAAATTAAAATACTTCTAATCTTACAGAGGAAAAAAATAACATACCCAGAGTTCTCAAATTGCTGCCTCTTAGAGTCACCTGAAGGTGCTTTAAAACTTCTGAAGGCCAAGGAACACCCAGAGCAATTAAATCAGAATCTTTGTTTGGAACCTGGACATCAGCATATTTTGAAACTTCCCAGGTGATTCTACTGTGCATACAAGTTTGAGAAACTGAACTTCACAGTTATTATTTATAAAACAGTTTTATTAAATTATAATTAACATAAAATAAAATGTACATATTTGTAGTGTATAAATTGATAACATTTTGATTATATAGGGTTTCCCCAAAAAATATGTACACACTTTAGCAGTTAATAACTCAGTTTTGAAAATGAAATGTATTTTAAGAAACACTGCCTTTATAATTATTCAAAGCGTGTGTATACATTTTGGGGGGACACCTTATACATATGCACCTGTGAAATCACCACCACAGCCAGAATAATGAACATATCCATCACTTCCAAAAGTTTCTTCAGGCACTCTCATAATCCCTGCCTCCCAACTCCACCCCTGTACTCAGGCGGCCAACTGTTTTCTGTCATTATAGATGTTTGTATTCTTTAGACTTTTATGTAGATGGAATCATACGGTGTGTGACTTTTTTCTGCCTTCTTTCACACAGCACAGTCATTTTGAGGTTTATCCATGTCGTAACATTTATCAGTAGGTTATTCCTCTTTACTCCTGAGTAGTATTGCATTATTTGGCCATACCAGAGTTGGTTTATCCATTCATCTATTAACGGACTGTGGAATTGTTTTAAGTTATTGCCATTTTAAATAAAGTTGCTATAAACATTCATCTACAAATCTTCCTATAGATAAGTACTATTATTTCTCTTGGGTAAATACTTCAGAGTAAAATAGCTGGATTATATGATAGGTGGATATTTAACTCTCTAAAAACTGCCAAACTATTTTCCAAAGTGTTCATACCATTTCACATTTTTGCCAACAGTGTATGAGAGTTCCAATTTTCTATGTGGTCACTAACCCTTAGGATGGTCAGTCTTTTTAACTATTCTAATAGATATGTAGAGATATCTTATTGTAGTTTAGTCACTTGAAAATAATTTGAGCTTTTTGGGTCTTGATTTTAAGATTTGTGACATGGGCACACAGCAGTGCTCTATCTAGCATAATTCCCACCAGAAAACCAAACTCTTTCTGTGGACTCTACTCAGTGTACTGTAATGATGACTTCCAGTCTGGCAGTGGAAGTAGGCACCAATCCATCTGTTTGAGCTCCTGGCACTGTTACCTCAAATCTTTTCAGATGTTTCTTTCCTCATGTCGTTTCCTCATGTATATGCTCTCTGGACATTGTCTGGGTTGCCCCTCTCTGCACCTCGGTAAAGCTTTCAGTGCAGTAACCGGAGGTAGTCATAGTGCTCACTTCATTTGTTTCCTACCTCTCAGGGATCATCACCATTCATTGCCTAACATTCACTATCTCAAAATCTGTTGTTTGTATATTATGTGCATTCTTTGGTTGTTTCTAGAATGAGGGTAAAATTAATTAGTCATTCCATCTTGTTCAGAAATAGAAGTCTCTATACAATTAATTTTGACAAGGCTGGGTATAAAATCAAAGCCACTCAATATCCTACTACAAGACCAAGCAGTAAAATTCGCTTCTGAATTACTTATCTTGAATGCACGGCATGGGAAGTCTGTTTTATTTATAATTTTTATAATTTATTTTCTAAAATACTTAGTTTTAATTATTTTGAACGTTCCACAAAGATGTCTCATTTTGGGAAGCATTTTCTGAACATTGTTTTCAAAAACCAAGTGTATTAGAGTTATTAGATGTATACACACGTGCCCCTCTCCTAGCCCATGAGTTTCAAAGACATATGACAGCTTTAGGGACACCAGCAAATTCATACATATATTACTTATACTTTTACTTGAACAGAACTAATGAAACACACCAGCTTTACCTGAGTACTGAATACAAAAAATATGGCAAAGTGATAAAGTGAAGAAACTTTCCAAAGACTGGGGGCTTTTGTCATCACGCAGTGTCTACAGCCCGCCTTTCCCTGGTGGAAGAGAGTGTATTTGGGGACAAGTGTGACTCATAAGGCATTTGCTTAATAACTATTGTAAGAAAGGTGGAAAAGGTAGCTTACAGAGGAGAATATTGCCTCATGGAACCATACAAGAAATAAAACCCATTAGGATGAAACATTTGTCTTGTATTTGTTTCTCTGGCTAAGATAAAATATAACGATTTGTTTCATACCTTAAAAATCGGAATTACACTTCCTTCACTGGATGCAAATAAACATTTTTTTTTGAGAGTTGAACGTTTATTTATAACATACAGCCTATACAAGAAATCTCTAGAGCTGGGGCTGTGGGTCCGAATGAACCCCTGAACCTGTCAGCAGCTCTACCTTCCAGGCCCCGCCTGCTGCCTCCACAGCCCAGAGTTTGCTTCGGCAGGCAGCATAGCGAACGTGGGTACAGGCTCCATCTCAGGGTTGGATGAAGCTCTTCTACCTGGAATGATCAAAAGTTGGCCTAGTGGTTAGTCTATCCCTCAACTTCCTGGGAAGTTCTGCCTCCACTACAGTTAAGAACACCAAGATGAAAGCAGGGTCAGGGCTGCAGACCTGTTGGAGCCTTCAGAAGCATGAGGGGGGGAGGGTAAGAGGGCCTGGAAGGATAGACATTGGGGGGGCTGATTAGAAACTGATGATCTTGGTTCAGCACTCCCAAAATAAGGGCAAGGTGACTGCATCAACCGTAGAACTTCCCAGAAGAGGAGGACTGGGACTCCTGACGCCCTACCCCCCAATAAGAGGATACAAGCCCTTAGCACAAGAGCCAGACCAAAGAGCCCAGGGAACTCCACAGGAGGGGAAACCCTGCCCAGGCTTGGAGGGCAGTGGGTGAAGATTCTCCCTGGGCTCCAAGACCCAGTCTCAGAGCAAGGGACTGGGGACCTGGCCCATCCCTGGTCCTCATTTGTGGGTGTATAAGCAGGTAGTGAGCCTCCTCTTTCATGGGAGGTCACAGCCTAGGGAATTTCCCCCCTAGGACTGGGGTGACCCTGTGGAGACAGAGAAGGGTTGGGGCCAGCTTCCAGGAAGTTCAGTTGGATGCTCTGGGTCCTTTAGGTATATCATAGCAGATCTTTCCTGCAGGGCAGGTGTCTCATCTCTCACTAGGGAAAAGGCAGAACTGAGCTTGGCTGATCCCACTCTCACTAGCATGCACTGGGGACCTCTAACAGTAAATGGGGAGGAGCTGGGCCTACAGGGTCCAGAACAGAAGGTGGGGAGGGACTGGGGACACAGCACCCAGGGTCCATGGGTGTTCCAAAGTCCCGAGTTACAGGTTCAGCTTATATAGACACGGTGGAAGTCATGGGCACCAAAGGCCACATTGCACTTGGGGCACTTCCTCTGGCGGGCCTCGTATCGGCCCCGCACACACTCAAAGCAGAAAACATGGAAGCACTTGGTAAGGACTGCATCCTTCTTGCGGGTGTTACAGCAGGGGCAGGTCAACCGCGCCTTGTACTCCTTGATCTCCTCCTGGAGGATTTCATCAGCATCTGCATAAACCTCCACCTTCCTCTGCTTCTCCAGCTTGCGCCGCAGCCGTGAGATGTCCTCCTGAGCCCTCTTGAGGTTGAAGCTCTCTTTCTCTCGAGCAGCACGGCTCTCTGCCAGGCAAGGCTGGATTTCTCGCAGCCGCGTCTGCACGTGCTCCAGCTGCACCTTCAGGTCCTCAGCCAGCTGGGCTGCTTCCACAGCCTTCCTCTTATTGAGCTCCAGGGCCTGGCTGCACAACATCAGCTCCTTCTCCACACCTCCAAGGCTGCCCTGCAAGACCTGCTCTCTCTCCTCCAGCTTCTGCACGGTCAGCAGCTGGGCATCCACCTGAGACTTGAGGCCAAGAACCTGCTCGCCCAGCTCCTCCTTCTCCTCCCGCAGCAGCTTGTGAATCTGGTTGGCCTTGATCCGCTCCGACATCAGCTTAAAGTTGGCGTCGTCCTTCTCCCGCAGCTGCTGTAGCAGCCGCCCGTTTTGCTCCTGCATGTCCTCAAAAGCCTGGCCTGTCACATCCATCTCCGACAGCAGAGCCTCCTCCTCCTGCTTGGTGGCACCCAGCTTGCGCTGCAGGTGCTCTATCTGCTCCTCTGCCTGCTGAGCGCGCCGCAAGGCATCCTCACCTGCAATCTTCTTCCTCTCCCTCTGATCCCTCTCCTCCAGTTCCCGCATACGACTCCGGAGCTCACTCACCTCGGTCTTAGTCTTGCGTTCAGCTGCCATGAGCTGCACCTTATCCCGCTGCTCCTTGGGTGCTGATTTGTACATGTCCAGTAGCAGCTTCATCTCCTTCTGGCTCTCCTGGGCCTTTTTGAGCTCCGCTCGCAGACCTCTGAGGAATTCCGATTCCTTCCTCTTGGCCTCCTCCACCATGGCCTTCTCCCGATAAGCTCTTGAAAGTGCCGAGGCCATACACTGGGGTCCCAGGCCAGGCTCTTCCCACTCCCAAAGCTCTGGTTTGGGCCTAGCCTCAGGTTCCTGGCCCCAGGAGGAGGTGCCCTGGGACCCAGGAGTTAGGGCCTGGGCATCTTCCTCAGAGGGGACCAGCTCCTCCTTTGCTGAGGAGGTAGTCATGGGGGCACCAGGCACTGAAGCCATCTCCTTTCTGCCTTCATGGTCACCAAGAGCACCTGGCCCACCCTCATCTTGCCCTGGGTCTGGGGCACTGAGGCCAGAGTCTTCCGAATGACCCAGGTTGGGAATAGAGTGCATAGAGCCACTGGCCTGGGCCCGGAACTTGCCAATTTCAGCCTGCACTTCCCGCAGCTTCCGCTTGTATCGCTGGGCATCCCCCTTTAGCTGGTGGTTGTGACTCTGAAGGCTGCTGATCAGGTGGCGCATCTCATGGTTGATGGGCCCTGCCTGCTCGTTGGCTGCCAGGTTCTGTTCAAACTCAATGCGCAGCATCTCGTACTCCTTGCGTACCTGGGCCAGTGTGTCCTCCAGCTGGATAACCTCTGCCCGCAGCTGCTTCTGCAGCCCCAATTCATCACTCTCCATGTGCTCAATCTGTCTCAGGTGTGAGTTCTTGGTGGCCAGCAGCAGCCCCCGGGCCTCCTCCAGCTGGGTCTTCACTTGCAGAGACTCACTGTAGAGCAGTGAGAACTGGGCCTGCAACATTCGGTACTCCTCTGTCTCCTGTACCACTTCCTCAGGGAGGCTCCGGACGGCCACCTTGAGGCGCTCATTGGTCCGCACAGACTCCTGAAGGTCAGCCTGTAGCTTCTCCAGCTCTGCCATGCGGCTGCTGGCCAGTAACTGGTTTTCCTCTAACTCCGCATTCAGCATCTCAAACTTCTGCAGGCTGAGTGTGATCTGGCCCCCCTGGAAGCCTGAGGAGATACCAGACACATAGTAGCCAGAGTTGAGCTGCTCCAAGGCCTCTGCCAGGTGCTTATTGAGCTTTTGCTCACGCTTGTGCAGCTTCTCAATGTCCCACTGCAGGTCCTCTACTGTCGTCTCCATCTCCAGCACTTTGGTCTCTGATGATGTCACTTTATCCTGGAGCTCAGAGTACTGCAACGAGATGCAGTGGTGCTTCTCCTGTAGCTGGGTGGCCAAGTTGTGAAGTCGCCGGTTCTCACGGCCCAGCTCCCGGGTGCGTGCCCGAGCCGCCTCAGTGCGGGGCTCGCAGTCCCCTCGGCTGTATGCTCGCTGGCAGAGTTCCTCCAGCTGGCGCTGTAGGCGGTCTGAGGCCTCCATGACACGGGACACGGCTGCCTTGGAGAACTCCATCCGGCCCTGCAGCTGCAGCTCCTCCTCCTCACTGCTGCTGGTGCCCGGTTTCACCCCGAGCGCCACGGCCGGCTCGGCGAGTCGGGGCCGCAGCTGCCCTGGCAGGGTCTCCCTCGATTCCCACGCCTTCGGCTCCATGAGGAGGCTCTCATCGCGGGTCGGCCCCTCCGGGGTGCCCGGCGCCTCTGTCCCTGAAGGCAGTTCCCCCTGGTTATCACGCTGTCGGAGAAGGGCTTCCACAGTGACGCCCAGCAGCGCCCAGTAGCGATTGACAATGAGGAGCGTGGCGTCGTCTGTGGCCTGCCGCTTTTCCAGCTTCTCAATTCGTTCTCGGAGTTCATCTTCACATGCCTGGCGCTGTTCCAGCCGCTCTGCTAGTTTCTTATTCTTGAACCGCAAAACCTTCAGATCCATGTCCTCCGCGGGAGAGAGGTCCCCAAGACCAACGGGCTCTGTAAGCGCGGTTGCGCCGTTCTCTCCGCAGGCCCCGAAATCCCGTTGCAGGTGGCTCGTTTGTTGCCCTGACAACAACGTCCGGCAGGAGACCGTGCCACTTCCGGTCACCCGCGGCACTTCCGGCACTTTCGGTTCTCCATGGCAACTCCGGCACCGGCTGCAGCATCAGCGCGGCGCCGCCATGTTAGACTTCCCTGGACAACACCGCCCTAAACGAGCTCTTTTTAGGTCAGTTTATATACTTAAACTTCCAGAAGTTACTTGATAGGCAGCGTCAGATATAAGGAAACATTTTTACCAAAGAAAGAAGCCAACCAATGTGGGGTCATGTGGCTGCATGACCTAGCCGTGTCATCTAGGAACTTAATTCCTCATGGCATCAGTCGCCACCTGTGGTGAGTAATAGGAAATTAAACCTGCCATATTTATGTGTCGGAGAGAGAGTATATACATGTAATTATTCCCTCCGTTATTTCAAGGATGTGCTTCATGGAAAACTGGTCCCTTCATGTGATGGAAGTGAAATACATTAACTTTTTTTGATGACTTTTCATTTTTAACACTTAAAAGTACGGGAATTGAGAAATTTTGGCAGTTAAGTGATATTTGCACACTTATTTAAAAGCACCCACCCGACACCACACTGTCAATTCCCGTTGTGCTAGGATGTTAAAGTGAAATCATTAGATAGAAGGGTTCTGCATTGTTTTTTCATATAATCCTAGACATGACCCAATCTTTGAAACTAGCTTTATTCATAATAGCTCTTAGTTTCTGCTTGTTTGTTTTTTTAACTTGTGCCACAAACATTGATTCGATACCTCGTATGAGCCTCAGACCATATATGGACAGTGAAGCTACAACAGAAATAGCACAGGGGTGTTTCTTCTTCAAGAACCTTTATGGAAGAGTCGGTATAAGACTCTACATCAGAATCACCTAGAACATTTGTTAAAAAGCACATTTCCGAGCTTCAAGGGTAAGGCTTAGAAATACGCATGTTAACAAGCAATCCAGGTGATTCTGATTCCTGGGAGCACATTTTAAAAAGATACTGCCCTACATAACTAATGGGTTGGGGGAGGGGGAACCGGGGGAGCTGACGTGTATGATGTGGCTTGTAGGTGGTTACACAGGTTTTGCCCTAGGAATTAAGGGCTAAGGAAGTAAGAGAAGCTTGAACTCCAGCCTAAATTCTGACTCCCTGCCCCCAGCCCCCTCTCCTGCAATAACCTGGCCCACAGGGTGGAATCTGCCCAGGAGGCACCCTGTTCTCTTTAGCCCAGAAGACCTTTAATGGAGAGTAAGTGGCAGTTTCCAGAGCCTTATGTTATTCTGAACCCATCAAACAATTTTTAGAGAGAAATCTAGCAATTACAGTAGAGGAGGCACAGACTTTAAGCTTCCAACCTAATAAGAAATTTATCTCCTTAAACAATACCTACATTTATTGATTTCTAGCCACACTCAGCTCTCCAAGAGAAGTAAGATGTCAAGGATAATGGAGGATTTGTGCTTCAACACAGCTTTGTTTGAGGCTCTGTTTGCTTGGGTCCTCATGTATTATGTCCACTCACAACACTGTTGAGTAAAACGTTTGTCCATAGTCCCTCTGTGCATAAAGGCAAGCTATTTTTCTAATAAAATAATCCATTGCAAATATACATTTGTAGATAGGACAAGCTTATTTTTGCTTTTAGAAAAGCGTGTTGTGTTGCTTTGGGAATTTTCTTTTGATTTCCTCTAGAATGTTATTTTATGGAGAAAGTATTCCTGTTCTATTAGGCAGAATGCCTCTTCCCCCTTATTCTCCTACCAAACACCCATGATCTAACCTTGAGCCATCCACACTAGACTTCACTCTTCCTTCCCCCCTCCCTCATTTTCATTCATCAGCTCTTATGTGAGTATCCTAAATAAAGCCATTAGCGCCTCAAGCTATAACCTCAGGCTTCAAATTGCTTCTTGTCTCCAGTGTCTCCCATATCATAATACATCTTGCATGTAATAGCTTAGTGGCTCTAACACAGTGATTTTACACTTTTACAGTCCTCTTTGGAGCAAGTTCTGAAGTCTTTCTTAACTTCCATTCTAACTTTACCTCCCATTACATGTATGCACTCTGGCATTCTACGAATATTGCATGTATACCATGCTTTGTCTCATGGATGTATTTGTAAATAGTTAATATTTTAATTTATTGAGTTAAAAATACCTGGGATGTGTAAACAGACTTATCAAGAAAAAATTGAAAAGCTTTTTCAAGAAAATATTGCATAAACTATAACACGTCATGTCCATGCAACCCATTTGTTGCCAAGTATGTATGGCTTTTTATTTGCGAATTCTCTGAAAGTATGGCTGCTTCTGGAGGAGGGGAGAGCCAGTATTTCTTAGTGCCTTGTAAGCCCCCATTTGTAAAGCCTCTGTTCTAACACTCTTTAAGAGGCCAGTCCCTTCAGTAGGTCTGTTTATAAAGGAAAGCGGACAGCTGTTGAGCTGCAGGGCAGCAGCAGGTGTCTCTGTGGGATGCCTCTGGAAACAAAAAAGCTGGATTCCCCCACTGGGTGTAATTTTATGAGCTCTGCAGGAGAATTTACTTATGGTCCTTTTCTCTCCTGTACATAATATGTACTGATGATTGTTACGAAAACCGATTTTAGTAACATTTTTAGAAATTTCAAGCCTTAAAAATCAAAGACATTTAGAGCTATTAAGACATCTTGCACCTATCCACAAACCATCAAAGTGAGCACATCTTTTGTATAATGATATTTTCAATGATGCTACATTGCAGGAAAATACATCCTACCTTTATCTATTTTACTTGTTGTTTGCAGTGTGTTCCAGGTGTTACAAATAAAATACACATTTAATGCCCCCATTGAACAGCCTCTGAGCTGTAGACTGAGCAAAGAAGACAACATTTTACTCCCACTTCCCTTATAATAATGTTATTTAGTCCCTAACTGGTCTCTCTCTCCCGTGAAGTTAGTGTCCCTATTTTCTCTATAGTTTCTATGGTATGTATTTGACTGCCAGACATGTATTGTTTTGACTGTATCCATTTAATCTTTTTCACAAACTTATATAGTGGGGGCATTATGCAAATGAAAACAAGGAAAAGTAAATTGAATTTACACTTTATTAAAATCAAACAATTCTTGCAACCCTGAAAATTGTACTCAATAACATTATCTCACTGTACATTGTTCTTTATAGAACTTCGGGTAATGTCTGATTCAGAAACACTTGGACTAGATGCTACATGTCAGTGATTTATGAAATTTCTGAAAAATGACTTAAGGTGGAATTCATTGCCTGTTATAGCCACTAGTGGGCCATGGTCAATTCTGAAAGACGTCAGAGAGTAGGGATGGCACTGTGATTGGAGTTTGGCCTCACTAGTGAAATTCTGTGTTTTGCAACAACTTCCCCAGTCCTGGATGTTTTGCTGACGGGAAGTCCAACTATGTGTGCCTCAACTGCAAAGCTGACTTCTTCCAGCTCACACTGCAGTTTGACTCTCTGTGGCCCACAAATACTTCTTCGAGGTGCTAGAACCATTTCTAAGCAGAAATGAAGATGGAGTTCAAAAGGAATAAAAGAGAATAGCGAAGAAAAGGGGGGGAAATGCTGATCCTTTACATCTCCCCATGAGAAAGTCACAGGAAACAGTTGTAGGAACCATGAGATGATTTCCTGTCTTACATTTACAAACTACAAAATAATGTGACTCCATTGGGGGAAAAAACTGTAAGACCTAAATGCAAACCGCGGTCACTGGATTATTATAACCAACAGTGTGACTAATAGTTTTGTTTGTTTTCCATTAAGGTGACATACTTGTTTGATAATGGAGGGACAGTCTTCTTTGCTATTTTTATGGCAATATGGGGTAAGTATGTTTTTCTATTACTTCCTAGCCCTCACTCTCTGAGGCTATTGCTCTCTCTCTTCATAAACACACACGTGCGCGCACACACACCCACGCTCACACATGCGCACCATGTATCAGTTCAACATAGTCTCTTTGTCCTCTTCACACATTCACTGCTCCTCTGGGAATGCACCTCTTGACCTAATTCTCTAATCCCTAAAGCCTTGACCTTCCTGAACTAAAGAACATTTTTTTCTGCCAGAAGCAGATGATGATTAAAAGCAAACTGAAACATGCTATAACTCAAGTTAAGCTTCTGGTATTTTCTCTCTTGAAACTGATGCTCAGAAAATTTTTTGTTTGCTTAACATTTCCATTTTGTATTTTTAATATATTTAGAGATGCAGAATCTATTCCATATATGATTGATCAGTAATGTCTAATACATAATAAATTCTGTTCCTGTCTAACATCTTAAAACTGGAAAAATTATGTGCAGGTACACAACTTTGGCTGACTTTTTTCACCATGTTTCTCATTGAGTTTTTAAAGTACCCAATTAATTGAGGCTTAAAGTAAATCAGACAGGTTGGAATCCTCTATCCTTTGAAGAAAAACAATTGCGTTCCTGGTTAGGGTCAGCTTTCCTAGCAGCCCTGTTGAATGCAAAGTCATTGTTAACTTGGCAGTTGAAGGGACTGACCATGTAAGTGCTAATGCAGAAACGTAAACTGTACTAGAAGACAGGCCTCTAACTCCCATTCCCTACATTTCTCAGAAACAGAAGTTTTGTGCCATACTCTGTAGCTTTAAGTAAAAAAAAAAATTGAAAAAAATTACTTCCAGTGTTCCTTCAACAGAAATCCAACTGTGATGCATAGCATTAGGATCATAGGGGGAGCAGTAAAGAGTCAATCCACTGATTTTTGTCCAAAAAAAGTAAAAATGTAGTTTTGGCTCCCTGTTTTCATTGAAGGATTTTTTAAATTAAATTACCAAGCAGGGCAATCAAGATGAAATCTTTTAGTCTTATGTGAGTCCACAAACAATTCTTACTAAAAAAAAAAAAAAAAAGGACCAAAATACAAATGAAGGTTACCCCATAGATGCTTCAACACAGCCAAAAATGGCAAAAAAGGAAACCTTTTGGATGATTTATCCTTTGTTTTTGCTACTAGGCTCAGGCTTTTACAGTTCTTCTTGGCACAAGCCACATGACTGTGATCTTGCTTCAGCATTTGGAGGATGGGTTGGTGAAAAGGCCAGGATGTAGGTAAAAACTTGCCATCGGGAGCCTTTTTTCCCTTAGTTTTATACTGAGGTACGAAGTGGAGGTATGTCATCCATAGGAATGCCATCACGTGCATTTTCTCGACCTGCTGGCATGGATGAATCATTCACAGTTGAGTTGTTGAAGTAACTAGCATTCCCAAAACTCACATCATAAGGTTCCGGTGCATTGTCTAATCGCAGAACTAAAAAAGCAACCAAAAAAAGGTGTTTTATAGTGACAGTCTGAAAGATGCGTACCTGCTCAGGCATCTGCCAGACTGTAGGGATTGTTCTAGATGTACATCTATCCTTTACATGGGCTTTTCAGACATTAGTTTTGAAATTTTAAATTAGTAGATATTTTTCAAGCCACATTTCTTTCTAAAACTAAGAGAGCAGTTTAACTTCCAAATTTTCCCTGCTGGTGGACCAAAGCTAAAGGAGCTAAGGAAGAGATCACAACAAAAGTGTAGTAATACTTTGTATAAAGGAGTGTAGACAGGTATCTCATTGACCTGAATATCTTGATTTCAGAGTCTTGTCAATAAGTTCAGAATTTTTACTTCTGGCAGAAAAACACAAAACTTTTTAATAAAGGAAGAACATTAATTTTAAAATCAATAATAGTTATTCTGCCAAGTGTTTCCATATCTTTATGGTTGAGGCACTGAGCATGGAGACTGGAGAAAACTATTTGTAAAAGTTTGTGTTTCCTGCCATTAGATTCCACTTATCATGTACTTGAGGTTTTATGACTGATGATGAAGTGTTTGTTCATTGTCAACAAACAGTCAATTATTATTTCTTTAATGAGCTTGAACTTATTTTCAAAGAAAACCTGGCATGCAGGAAATGCTTTTAAATACTGAAGCAGTAGCTAATTACTAATTAGATTAGTAATCTAATTATTCAGTGAGGTATTTTGATATCCTGTCAATTTCATTAGCCATCTCTTCACAAACTAGACTCCCAAGAAACTTAGGGATTTGGGAGAGGTGTCCTTAAATTATATCAGTTCAATAGACTGAACTTTTGTATGTGATTACAGATAAAGAAAAAGTTCTGAGGTTTAAAAAGTTTAGAAACCCCTGTTGTTCAAAATCTTATCCTTTATTTTGAAAAATGCCACTTTTTATTTTATATGGGTTACTAGGAACTCATAGACAGAATTCAGTTAAATTTTTAAGTAGTGGATTTGCTTCTGAAAAGGAGCATATGTCACTCATGACCTGAAGTTCTCAAAAATCAACAAGACTTTATCAATGGGACCTACCAGGGTATTTAACTATTTTTTTTATGGTAGCAAGTGTCCCTTGTGTAAACCAGAAAACAGTTGTGATTTTTTTCTTGAAGTTTAAAAAAAAGGTGAGTCAAGCAGTTGAAGTGACTTCATTTGTGTTCTAAACATTATATTAAGAGCAAACTCAGTGCTTCATTCTTAGCAGTTACATTTTTTATTCATAGACATTATGATTCTCTTTCATCACATGAGTGAGAAAATTGTGACTTTATGTAGCTTTTTAGAGACTAATTAAAATAATTAATATAGGACTACTATATCTGTAAAACTTTTGAAGAGCTAATTAGAATATGTCTTTGCTCAGATTACTGCTACTTTAAAAAAAAATCCAACAATTGCAAGGTATGGCTTTGCAATCACTTGCTAACTAAATTGCTCATATTTTTCTTAATATCATGCCATTATCTTCTCATTTTATAGATGTATTCTAGGTTCTAGGGTTATTATTTAAAACCAATTGTAATGCAATGAGCAACAGTTTCAAATATTTAAAATTTTTTTCACAGATCCATTATTTTGGTCATGTGATTTGAGAAACAGAGAGTAGATCAGAGTAAATTTTTGGTTCTGTTTATGTCATGTGAATCTCTGAACCCCTTGTAGATAACGTAGTGACCATTAGCAATCCTCACTGAATTAAAACCACTGTGTGCGGGTGAAGTTCTGAAAATTGTTTTTACCTGGTTCGTTTCTATCATCATAAAGTCGCCGATGGGAAAATGAATTCGTTTTCCTTTTTCCACACAACAGGTAGCCAACCAGACTAAGCAGGAAAGCACCCAGAATAGCGCCTAAAATGGCCCCAAATACTACTCCTGTGTTTCTATTCTCTAGAGAAAAAAAGAAGAAATAATTTACAAACAAGAAATAAAAATAATTGTTGAAAGTACAGTTATATGTACACGTGGACTTCCTATGTACCACAAAGAATATTTAACAGTTTTTTAAAATTTAGATAATGGTGATTGTGTGTTATAAAGTACTGAGTGTTTGGGATATATTGGCAAAATATGCTTTCTGATAAAACCAAACTTTACATTTTGAATTACCTTGAATTCTAAGTCCTACTTTTATAACTGCCTCATTACTCAACACCAGTAGTACTAAAATATCGTGTGTGTGCTCCATTAGGACATAATTTCTATGTTGACTGCTATATTGTTTCTAGTCAACTCTGAATCTCTGATGAATTTTAATGATGAAATGAACTTTGAGCTTGCCTCTATAATAATAATTCTAAAGTAAAAAGCTAATAGGAGTAAGTGGGTAGTAGAAAATGAATCCACAAAGCTCCAAATGAAAAGGCACTGTAAGGAAAAAGCAGAATATCCTGATAAGGATATTTCCAAGTAGAACAAATGACAAAAGCAAGATGCTGTCAATGCCTTCATGTAGGGAACAGATGTGTAGGTCTGAGTTTAAGAGAACCCAAAATTTCACTCTATCACCCCTTTTACCAAGTACCTTATTTGAAGACTATCATCAATAAACTACTTACTGCTCCATGAACTCAAATTTAGTGTATTTTTTAATGGTGTCTGTTTTTTATTTCTTGAGAAGCTTATTAATTAGGTAGGTAAGGTGGTCTTACAGAGTCTCTGATTTTATATGAAACCCTATTTATTTAAAAAATAAACCTTCACAGTGGAAAATTAACAGAAAATTATTACAAAAATAAAAGTGAAGCAAAGTTAACTTTTATTAAAAGAGCAATGGTAGGAGTAAGTATTCAGTGTTCTCAATATGCATTTTGAGTTTAGAGAGACAAAAGAGATAGTATTTTTAAAAAATATATTTCTGATGGAATATTAGAGTATGTATGAATGGAGTGGATGTGTTAAAATTAATGCTAAAGTGAAAATATATGTACATATAATACATTGGTTGCAGAGCTATGGTGAAACCCAGATTTCAGAATTTAAAACCTTTCTTGTACACTAGGAACAACTTTAAAATAAGAATTCATATATATGATTTGACGTTTACATCATTAATATAATCTGTAAATAAGTTATGTGGAAATCTGTGAGTTCTTAAGGGGAAAATAGCATTTTTTTAAGTTTCAGGGAAACAGAAACATGGTTAGACCTGAAAAAATAAAACATAATGAATTTTCATTAAATATTAGAGATTTTTTTTTCACTTCATGCTTTAAAGCAAGATATAATCCCTAAAAATGAAACATAAAAGTGTCTCATATTAAAATTTTCTTGTGATACAGCTAAATTCCATTTTTATGGTGTTCATTAGGTACTAAACTGAAAATTAAGGAGGCTTTCCTTTTGTTGAGCTATTTACTTTTTAAAAAATATCAGTGTTCTATTTTCCTGTGATTGCTGTGTGGTATTAGATAACTTATAAATTCATTTACTTCAACTTTAAAACCCACATTCATATATTCTTAAAGTTCAGTTGTACAGCATTCCTAAAAGCATATGAAATGTCAAGTAGTCTTTCTAAAATTCAGTGAAAATTGTTACACAGTATTTCAAAACTGTACCACTACCTCAGTCTCTGTTTCTCTTCAGCCTAACCTACTTCTCATTTTGTCCCACTGCCTCATCATGTTTCTATATAGTAATGACTAGTATATGCTGACTTAAGTTCTAAAATCCCTTCACTATTTCCAGGGAATATCATGGTTACCCCTAAAAGTGAGAACCACCTGTGCTACTGCAGTCTCCTCCTTTTCTCTCGTATGACACATTCTATAGATATAATCTACATGACTGACTTGGAGGTCATTTCACACCAAAGGAAAGTTTAATTTGTTTATATTTACCTTCTTGGGGGTCTGATGTATTTGGAAAGATTTTTGAATTATTGGTGAATTTTAAGGTGGGCTGTAGAGTCGCTTCCTGATAGGGGGTAAACCCCACAAAGCTGTCATTGGTAGGGATAAGCCATCCATCTGGTTCCGTTGTCATGGGGCTCATAGATATGGTGGTTGGTGCCGAAGGGAGGGTGCTAAATGTAATGGAACTGTTGTCCGTTTTCATGGTATCATTGGCCAAAGACCAAGTGAACTTTTCTGAAGATACAGCAGATGTAGCATTGGGAGGTGCTGAGACGGACAGAGAATTTTCACCTGCTGCAGATGAGTTCTGAGGCAGTTTAGAAGTATGGCTGTGGATCAAGGGAGGGCTTTTGGAAAATGCGAGCGTGGGTCTTGGATTCCTGGGAAAGTTCGTGATCAAATTATCCACCAAATCTGTTGTTCCGTCACTTTTATTTGATGGATCCCAGAGAGAGGAATTACTTGCTTTGGGATTGGAGGTTTCTGTATTTTCTCTACCTAAGTTGAAATCTGCTGCACTTTTCCAAGGAACATATTCTTTTGCCATATTTTTTAAATCTTCTGCAATGTTTTGTGTTGTGTTTACTTTCAGACTTTCTTTCCCATGGCTCACAAACAGTAGTAAACTAAACAAGGTTGAAATCAACAGAATTTGGGCTGAGGTCAACATTGTAGCCTTCTTTGGTATTGGTGTTACTCAGGAAATCTGAAAGAAAATAACAACCTTTTAAATTATTAAATGAAGATCTACATTTTTAAGTGGTAAAATCTAGAAACATAATGCTGAGATGATAATATGATAGTCTTAATTCCAAAAGTTTGTTTTCTTTGAACTATGTACTAAAACTAAAATAACTGAGTTCTATATTCCGTGTAACACTTTTTTCCTTCCTCTAGGGAAATGCCATGCAGAAACGTTATCACCACTATTCCACTATTTAAAGGATTATTTAGCTTGGGACAAGTTAAACACACACACACACACACACACGCACACACACATGCACATACACACACACTATATGTACTGCTAAGTAAAATTTTTTAAAATATTGTAAATATAGTGTATGTAGACCTGGCTGATTTCTTCAACCTATTTAGGAAAACATGTTCTTTATAAAGATGTCATTTGGAATATTATGAAAATGATGTTACTGAATGTCTACTCAATGTACCAGTTTAAACTGGGTCAGTCAGGGGCCCCACTTGAAAGATTTTATTACACCTAATTTGAGTTATTTGAATTTGAAATGAACATCCATTTTTTCAAAATACTTTTCATGATGCCCTCCATTCTATTAATTTCAAATTAGGGGAAATCAGAAAGACTTTTAGATTTTAGGATATTCTTTAATTATTTTTCCTTATGGTATTAATGAAGAGTCTGGTTGGGAGTGTGTATGAAATAAATTACTTAGCTAGAGTTAGTGGCCGAGTTGGGATTTGAAACCATGGTCCTGACTTCCCGTCCAGGCACATCATTTTGCTTGTAAGTGTGAAAATGCTACAAATTCACAGATAAGCGTGATGTGGGGGAGAAGTTTTTGAAATTAGATTTATATTAAAATTCTGGCTTCTGTTACAAATAATCTTTGAAAAACAATCATAATAAGCAGTTGCTTTATCATCATCATCATAACTACACTGACTTCACATTGTTCTGAAGACTAAACGAAATGATTTCAGTAGAAGTACTCTGAACAATTTCTGGCCTAAAGTAAGCAGTTAATAGACATTAACTTCCATTTCTCATTACTAAAATAAAATATTTCTGTAAGTGTCTTGCACTTTACAAAGTTTACAGTAACATCTTCCTTGATCATCACAATGACCACTTAAGACAGAAAGAATGGCTTATATTATCCCCATTTTGCAAATGAAGAAGTAAAGTTCAGAGTGGCTAGTAATGGAAGCTAGTACTGTACATGGAAGAGGTAACACTGAAAGGCAAGTCTACTGGCTCCAACCTAATTAGATGTTAGAATTTAAAGAGTTTTTCACTGAAACAATTATTCTTAAAAATATATATATTTGACTATTTCTTCTCAAACAATGAAGTCTGAAAACTGACTTTATATTCTTTGAATTGAACCTTAAAGCTTATTTTTCACTAAAAGCCTCCAGGATGACTGAGATAATAGAAGAGAGGAGGTGCTACTGCTATTATTTGAGTCCAGTATTACCAGAAATTTTTAAAAAGATTTCCCAGAAATATTTAGAAATATTTTCAACTTTAATGATTTTTCATTAGGGTCTGAGGAGCTTCTAAGCAACCCCTCTGATTATCTTTTGGTTTCAGTTGTCACCCTCTTTGCTTAATGATTTCTTACATAGTGGTACAACTCAAATATATCTATAATACATCCTGATATGCTTTTCTTTCCCAAAAGTTCTTAGCAAGCAGTCTATACTTTTGGATTCCTTAGGTTTTAGGACATAATATCTCTCATGCTCTATACTTAGCACTTCATAAAAACCTCCTTAAAAAGCAAGGCAGGCAGACATACGAGAACATTCACACTGGCATTATTTATAAGTTCTCCAATCTGAACATCCATCAGTAACAGACTGGTTAATACATTATGTAGATTCATGTGTGGAAATTAACACACTGGAGCTATATACAGAAATAAGGGTGATTATCACAAATATAATAGAGCTTAAAATACCAGTTGTACTGGTGATTCCATGTATACAAAGTTCAAAAACAGGCGAAAAACTAGAATGTTAGAAGTCAGGAAAGTGGTCACTTGTGGGGAGGAAGGAAACAGTATTGATTGGGTGGGCATGGGAAGGGCTTCTCTTTGCTTACGATACTCTGTTTCTTGACCTGTTAGGGGTGAAATAGGTGTCTGTATCTGTGATGATTTTGTTTATGTTTCATTTATTTTATTGTTATAGTCAAGAAAATTGGCTTCCTAAAAACTGTTAACATAACTGGAAAACACATTACTATTTAGCATTTATTATAACAGATGTTTTGCATGTTTTCTTATTTAATTCTTAACTAAAAACAAACAATGAGAAAGGGATTATTAATCCTACTTAACAGATTATTAAATGGGGCATAAAAATGTAAATAATGTATCCAAGGACACACAACTAGAGACACACACTACAGAGACAGGATTAGGATTCAGACCTTGGCATTAAAGCTAGTAATCGCTCATCTATGTAACAAAAGTTACAAAGGAATATACAGTTTGGTAGACAGCTGCCTTTTAGAACTTTGCCCATCAACATTGTCTTAGCACAGCCTCTGCAAATTTTATTTTAATCAGAGCAAGTCATAATCCCATTTTTTAAACACTGGAAAAAGTCGGCCTTCTACCCTAAGTACCTCTCAAAAACCCTAAAGACACTTTTATCCTAAGTGAAGAAAATCCTAACAGTTGTCTCTATGGTTTCTAAATGGACACCTTTCCCATGTAGCTGACAGATTAACATTAACAAACACATGTGGTTTCCCCAGGACCTGTATTAGCTCACCAACATTTCATTAAGCTGAGGCCTCACCGAGCACATTTAAAATACGATTCCATTTAGTTTAAAAGTACTCACAGGTACCTTTTCAGAACCACCTTTGTCCAGTGACTTCTGTCAGGTTCGGGCACACATTACAGCCTTTTCCTTATCTGCTGCCGTGATCTGATTAGCTTATGTACTGTACTTGGCTGCCAGTCATGGTTCTTACGCACATTGACCAGCCTTCCCCCTGCCTACGCTCTCTGGTCGGTTCTCTTCCTGTTGAAGTGGGCACCAGAGGGGGAACTGTCTCTCAGCTGTTCCTCTGACTTCTCATAATGCTGCCCGAGGAGCGTGGCATTGAGCTTTCTCGTTCCCTCCCCGTAATGAGAATCCATGTATCAAGAGCGAACAAAGTGAGTGTTGTTGTTCCTGTTTCCCTTTGCCTGTAACAGTGAACCACCTAGGGGCTCCCTCTACCCTTCACCCAGCTTTTGATGGCAGCGTGAAAACCTTAAGTATGAACACCCCAAAGGAGCCAAGCATTTTGTTACTACCTATAATTTATCTCCGGGGAAAAGAAGGGCAGAGAGGGAGAAGATGGAAATCTGTGAATACTGTTTGCAGTTCATTCCTAATTAGCAGAATTATAGGGAAGGCTCTAGTGAATATCGACTTATTCCTGTTGTCCGGGCATCACCGTGGGGGACAACTTTGATTCTGTCCCCTGGCTTCCTTAGTGCCTTCGTCTTAAAGGAATAGAAGCAGCCAGGAATGGAAACCATCAGCTATTCAGAATCCCAGCCCTGGACTTTTGCTGGAGCAAAGACTAAGCAGTTTTAGTTAAGCTCAATCCATTCTGAATGAATAAAGCGTGTTTTAAGCAGCACAGGCTAATGGAGGTGGTACAAGAGCTCCAGAGGGCAATGACATAGAAGTGTACTCTTTCCTCTTTGCACTTTTCTCTCGGCTTATCCCCATCTCTCAAGTTCAGATACTAAGATGATGTGTACTTGTTATGCAAAAAACTAAGTTATGCTGGATGATGGATGGCGTGCTGTGTGTGCTCATGTTTATCTGTCAGCCAGGTGCAGCATAGAGGGAGACAGAAGGTGGGATGAAAGAAAGTGAAGTTGTCGTGGGAGAGAAATTTAGGATAACCACCAGATAGCACCATTTCCCCTCCTGTTCTTTGCCCGTTCTTGCCCCTAGGTGGAAACTCCCAAGAGGAATTTTGAGGGTGTAACATAGGAACAAAGTTGAGATCATTACAAACATGAAAAATTCTAAGATGAGAATGATCAGTCATAAAGGGAACAGAAAAAGGGAAGAGAATTTCCATTTGTTTTGTGATAGCTTGAACACGGATTCTAAAACTTTCTACATATATTGAAATGTTTGTATTGTTTCTAATACTTGTAAAATATACTTCCAGAGAGTATGAGTTTTCCTGTTCTTAAAATAATTCCTTCACATGGAGAAAATGAACACTATTTTCTCCCTTTCTTTCTTGTTGGCACTAAAAAGTGGTTTCACATTACTACTTTTGTATGGAGGGCTTTGGGAGGTGGTGAGAAAGAGAGATGGGGAGAGAAACTGTAGCCATTATGGGAAGCAAATCTACACTCTTTGCACATAATTTTGCTTCTCCTTAAATGCATAAAGTTGTTATTCTGCCTGGCTTCCCTGTTCTGAATCATGCTCATTTTATACCAAGCTTTGAAAATAAGGAAGCATCCTGCTGTGTGTCAGGTAATCAACCCTGGCAAGGGAAGAGAAATGCTAGTCATCCTAAAATTTCTGCATCAAAACTAGAAATTTTAAATAAAATCATTAATTCAGGTACACTGGGGATAATATGAAAACATGTTTCTATAGTGAAATAACTAAAGAGCATATACTGTGCTACTTCTCTCTCAGTTGCTTTTGATCAATTCTTGTTATAGCTTTCAGGCTACAAAATAAGACAGATGGGTTTTGTTTGTCTTTGTTATGGGAAACTCAGTCTGACACGTAGCCAGTGTCCCAGGTAGACCTTGAGTGTTACTATGAGTGGCTTTTCCAGCCTTGGGCTGTATTTCGCTGTCCCTAAATGAAAGAGCCACAATAAATGAGGACATAAGGAATTATGCCTCTGTAAATGCCTCTTTTATGAGGGTTTTGAAAGGGTGAGAAGACTGAACTCTAATCATAAAGTAGGACTGTACCTGAGAACCATAGGCATATCATTTTACTTTTATTTGCTTCAAAAGAAAGAAAAAAGAAAAAGAAAACCATGACTTCCCTTTAGAAAAAGAACAAGTTTCAAAAGTTTATGAACATCATCTAATTAAAAGACTAGGTATGCATAAATCCAGGAAAAATACATAGAACATCATAGCCCCTGCTAAGTTGGGCGTTCTGTCATAAACTTCAGTACTCAAATAATTAGGTGAAAGAGTGTCATGCCTAGGAAGAAAGAAAGACTGTGTCTCCAAAAGAAATGGCACGGGCTTTTCAGCCTTCTGTCGTTTCACTCCCTGTAGAAACAGCCTCTATGGATCAAATAGAAGGTGGGTGAATGGTAAGCCAACATCCTTGTATAGGAGCCTTACACAGCCAAAAACTGAAAATAATTTTAAGAAACTATATTTACATCTTTGTTTCATGGGATGCCTTCTGAGGCAACTGACTTAGCCTTTAGATTTCAAATGAGTAGTGGACATGTGTACACACCATGCTAAGTAAAATTATATACACAAGATTTTGCCGTTTTTTAAAAGTCTTTGGGAACATAATTCATTGTATTAGAAGATTGTTTTGTTTTGTTTTTTTAGAAACTATCATATTCTAATACTTTAGCAACAACCTTGAAGCCCAAATGCATAATTTAAATCTAAATATTCAATTTATATTCATGCTACAATCTCCACTTTAAATGTTTTAAAACTTTTACTAAGATATGACCTAAAAACTCTCTCTCCTAGTCATGTGTGTTTTAAGTAAGGTTTTTATATTAGCTTTTCAGCTGGTTTCATCATCTGGCAAATTTGGCTGTAATTCTTATAGTTAACTCACTTAACAGTACAAATGCTCATTTGGAAGATAATTACTTAATGAAATAACTACCTGTCCTTACAAGGGTCTTCGTAGCTACTTCCCAGACTGTTCTGACAGAGGTCGAGCACACTTTGATTCTCTTTGGAAAATCAATGAAAGAGAGAGAGGCAGACAGACACAGGGTTGGGGGAAGAGGGATCCTGTGTAACCCAGCACCCAGCACACGCTTACCTTCAAGTCCAGGAGGTATTTACAAACAGGAATTCAAATATCACAGCTGTCCCAGCTAAAATGCTTCTGCTGTGCATTAGAGAAAGCAGATGGGTTAAGCGTGACGACGTCCCACTAAGCAGGAGGGTGCCAGAGAAACAAAATTAGGTGGAGCTGGCTGTACCTTGCTTGTGTAATGCAGCACCCAGAACCTGACTGACCTGCTTCTCAGCTGTCAGCATGAAGATACCACCTCATTCAGGCCTTTAAAAAAAATAAGTCCAACCCTCCAGCTTTCATAGGTCGCTTGTTTTGACTTCAGGGCAGGCTAGTTGTCTTAAGCGGTGGCAGAACAAGGGGCATTTATTTCCTGCCCTAAGTGAAAAAAGGGCAAAGACTTTGGTAACATCCCTGGCGTATCAGGAGTTTCTGACACATGCTGGGTTCCCACTTCTCAGGTGAGGAAACCAGAACGAGTCACACCCTGCACCTGTGGCTGTGTGCTGGCCGAATGTTGTTCTCTTGACTCAGAAACAAATCATTCTTTCCCATAGTAGGATGTTCTATTTGTGTACTTGAAACCTGAACAGAGAAAATGTAGTGTAGTCAGTAGTAAGTGCACTGAAATCAGTTTCATAGAAAGTTACACTTCACACAGTGAATCGATGTGTGTTGGAATCCTTGAGAAAACGGTAAGCTTTAAGTTAGAAATAATCACCAGGACTGAGATGGGGCTTGTTGATGACTTTCAGAAGTTAGGGGAGTGAATGGGGCCTGTTTTAAAACAGCCACACGATCCTGAGTAATCCTGGGAGCTTTCTCGATTAAGTAGTTTCCATCCTGTTCTCTTTGCTTTTACTCTCAATTGAGAAGCTGGAGAGTTTCAGAAGCGCCCAGGTAATGCCTGATTAAATGGGAGAGTTGAATAACAACCTGGCACACTTCCTTCACTTCCTTTCACGGCTTATGAAAGGGAGAAGAGTGAAACTGCACTTTCTGGGATATTCTGCACATCAATATTTGGGGGCTGGCGCCACAGTCTGCTCAGCTCCGTATGCCCGAGGTTCATGCTTGCTTTCTGTTGTGCAAGGAGACAGGTTTCCAATTGCTGAGAGAGAAAATGAAACTTTAGCTAAGGTTCAGGAGCTTCAAATTGAATGCAAAGAATCTGCCCAGTTAATTGGCCCCAGGAAAGAACAAGGTAATTCTATAGTTTTCAATTTTCTGAAGCCCAAAGGCCCCTTTAGAGTTTGATTATAAATTAAGCCAACCCCTTAAAAAAGTTCACTCAAAGGATATTTAAGCTGTAGCTGCACTGGTATGAAGAAAAGCAAGTTAAGTTTAATCAAACATCTGGTTACTAAGCAATGGCTTAATAGAATTTAATTGGTTATTTTCAGATTAGTCAGTACCTAGGGGGAAAAAAAATCCAGTTGAAAAAATATTTTATGTCCGTACTTAGGGAACTGAACATGACTTGGCAGGATTGGGTGTACTGCACCCTTAGGAATTTTTCTAGATACATGTATGAATATTGTTACTCTTTTCTGACCATTAATTATGATCTATACTAAGCATGAAAATTACAAGCACTTTTGCTGCAGTTTTCTGCCTTCACTGCCACAAGAGCCAAAGCTTATCTTCCGTGACCCCCTTTTCTGAAGACCCGATGGCCTCAGAATCCTTCTCATCATTGCCCTCCTGACAATCATAACCAAATGATTAGAACTGACCCTAGAGATAGACCACATTTACCTTCCCTGTCATGAGCTCACCGGAAGTAAGTTATAAATGAAAACTATGCACACATTTAATGCCTTAGTTATTACTTTACTCAGCTGTGATCAGAAACCTGTGTGAAATCACCTGAGTTGGAGTTAAAAAGTAGTTTCTTGGCAAACAAGTCTCACTGAGATACATTTCCAGGTATATGCCATCTTCTAGGAAAAACCAATCCCATGTTGGACTTGTTTCACCAGAGTAACTGAACAATAAGTCAAGCCAGCTGAAATGACAATGACTTGTGGTGCAATTCTTATATATACATATTTTTGTCCTTACCTACTGTGGTGCTTTTCATCTGGCACTCAGCTGCTTTACACCCACTAATTAAGTCTCAGTACATATTGAAAGAAGAAACACCTCTTTGTCTGAGATGGTGGAACTACTCACAAGTGGATTTTCTATAACCTGAAATCACATATTGTCACTGCTGGACCTGAAAATAGAACCAGAGTAGCTTAGGACTATGTCTCAAAATCAAAACATTGTTCTAGATTCAAGCTGGTATTTTTTACATGTCCTATAGGATAGCCTGCCTGATGCTGATATCTATCACACAAAGGGAATTTGTTCCCATAGGTTAGATTATTAATAGCAGGTTATGATTTTGAAATAGAATATAAACTGAACTCATATTTTTTTTCATATAGAAGCATGAGCACCTTAAGCAACAAAGAAATATTTGATCAATAATAAAATAACGTGATGGTTATATTTTTTTAAGGCTAGTTCAATGATATTCATTATAAATACAATGGAAAATGAGGACTGGAAAGTTTCTCTAGGGATGATGATAATTGTTTCGGTCTTCGGTTAGAAGATAAATAGAGGGGTCATTCTTATGATAACAGTTGTTTAACATACAAGCTTATTTTTTCCTATTAAGTCACATGGTGTTATAATATGGTCTTCATTTAACTATAACTTTATGGAAAGGTTAAAAACTCCATTTTGGTGCTAAGGGCTTTCTAGAACTATGCCCTTTGTTAGATAGAAGTTGTTCCATAGTATATAGATACATGCATGGGTGCAAAGGGGGAGCTAATGGAGCTTGTAAAGCTGATAAATCACATACAAACTTTAATTCAGCCATGGTTCAAGGAAGAGAATGACATAATTATAACAAAACCTGTTGCATTCCTATTAACACATTTATATCAACATGTTTTCTCAGTAAATGTCTTCATAAAGACAAGAAATTGAAATAGAGTTGATGCTCAAACCTACCTCGTTTCAGCAAGAACTAGTAGGTATCCAAGGATTTCTGAATCAGCTGCAAAATGAACATGATGTCCTTAAGGGATGTTTTTATGATAAAATCTTAGATCTTATGTTTAATATTCATTAAATTTTCAAATAAATTCTATTGTTTTATTATTAATTGTAATGATAAGTCAATCCAAATTGTTTTTTAAGGAACCTCATATTTCACGAGAGATTTTTAAAAATAATTTTATAAAAAAATAAAAATTTTAATTTATATCTATATTCTTTGCTGTTTCAGAGAAGTATGACAAGATGATCAATACACACTTTCAGTCATAAATAAAGGGATGGAATTCTGAGGTAGAAATAGAATGGAAATAAATTTAAAGACTTTGTCTTATCTCTTTTCCCTGCATTAATTTCCTTACAGCACTTAACTGCCAGCTAGCATACTCTCTATTTATTTTTGTTGTTTATTGTTCCTGTCCTAGAAAGCTCATGAAAGCAAGCATTTTTGTCTGCTCTCTTCATTACTTTATCCACAGAGCTAGAATAATTCCTGGCAAAGAATAAATGTTCAATAAATGTATAAATTAATGAATAAATGAGTGAATGTATATGAACAAATAAATACGTTTAACAATAATACCAAAAAAGTGATTATCTGCTAGCTCACTTTTCTTCTACCTAGAATATTCTTCTAATTGTTGGCTCATGCAGATCTGAAATCTGCTTTTTTTTTTTTTCACTTAAAGCTATTCCTTAGACATATTTATATGATTGTACATATAGGTCCTTGACCAGTTTCCTTGAGCAGGTGATAAGAGAGGGACTCTAGTTTGTTAAGAAGACCTGATTTTAGCTAGGGATGCATAAATCTTCTGTTATAGTAGGTGAGAATAGAGAGGCAGTGGGGACAAGTGTAGATAAGTGGGTAGATATAATTTGGGTGGATAATTCTTTAAATACTTTATTTTTAATGATGAGATGGACAGCAGAATTGCAACTGAAAGTGATAAGATTGTAGGTGCTTGATGTTGAGAGAGAAGAGAAAAGATGACAGCATGACAGACTCAAAGATTCACTCAAATCAATTTAAAATAAGACAAGTCACGCATCATAGCTGTGATTTTCTCCAGCAGTGTTCATGTTCATTGTAGTTAGAGTGTTGTTTTTAACTAGCGTCATGCCCAAACTGTGGGTTCATGACAAACTGAGACAAGCTACAGAGTTGAGGGAATATGCAAGTGAGTGAATATAAGATTGAGCATTAAGATACATAAAGAAGGAAGTGAGGCTTTGAGGAGAGGAAAGGACAGGGAAAAAATGATGGGTCAATGGACTGAAAATCTAGGTCAGGGGAGTATTGAAATTGGAGTTTAGAGGAAGTGAGCTAGAAGGATAGAGGTGATAAGATAATTGGAGATTGTGGGAGGTTTGCAGTTATTGATCAGAAGTATGCCGTGGAAGTACATGAGCCATGTAGAGTAAGAGAAACTAACTTTGAGGGTAGAAATCAAAGAACTGAGAAGCCAAGGTCCTTGAAAAATTATCTGTGTATATTGTAATTTCCAAGAATGACTTTGGGGGTCATGCTGGTAAGAGTTACAGTAAGCCAGGAGTTTAAAAATCTTCAGAGAAGTTTGGGGAAGTGTCCCCAGAAAGTGTTAGATGACTTCCACAAAAAGATAGGAAGTGTGGACTGAAAATGTGAGACTCGAATCTGTGGATCTTTAAGGAGGAGAGAGAAAAATGGTCTTGAGGGGACCAACGATGAGTAAATTCACTCCCTCAGCTTCAGTGCCTGTTAGTGTGGGAGACGAGTCACTGCCCGCTAAGAGCGCCGCACGGGAATTGGGGTTTGGGCCCCCTCGGCCTCAGAGCAAGCAGGGGGCCATACAGGACTTCGCTGTTGATGACCGAGAAAAAGAGGGCATAGTGAAAGTATCTCAAGGAGTTGGGAAGGAATGCGAGATGTTCACAGAGGCAGTCCCCGTTTCCCAGAGCTAGAGGGTTAAAATCGGAGGGTTCACGGATGCTGTGAAAATGTCTTCTTGAGGTAACTGATAGTACAGCTAAAGAGACAGTGCCTTAATCCTGGCGGACCCAAGTGTGAGTGAGGCAGGACAGGAAGGTGTGTGTGTAGAATATGGGTATGGTGACACCTTGCCAAGGTGGAGAGCCCCAGGCTTCCTCCGGGCTCCTGCATAGACGAGGTCCGAGGT